ATCAATTGTTTTCAGCCCATCTACAAAAAGTACCAAATCACCATAATTGGCCTTTAACTGAATCTGATATGAAGTCTAAGCATAAAGGCATTTATTTTGGCCCATATATTAAAAAAAAAAAATCTATCTTAGCCCTTCCAAAATGAGCTGTTTTTTTCCGGTGAAGTGCAGGTTGTTACCTTCAGCTATGGTGTTTACTCCAGGAAGGACTTTTCAAGGCCCTGCTTCCAACATCTCAAAAAATGAAGCATAGCGATGAAAATCTTGCTGAGAAGAGGTTATTAGAAAACCAAATTGCAACAAGAAAGCATAGGAAGTTTGAATGGAATTATTATCACCTGAACCTGAAGCAACACACTTATTGAAAAGGATTGCTGCTCCTGATGCCATTCTGGAACCAAACGAAGGGGAATAACCAAAATAGACACATAAAAAGTCAAACAAGAAACCTAAATTGCACCAGAAAGAAATGGGTACCAACTACATAAAAGTAAACAGACACCAACTCTACCATTTATAGTTACCTACAGCACACCTCCCTTCAATTGTTTTCAGCCCATCTACAAAAAGTACCAAATCACCATAATTGGCCTTTAACTGAATCTGATATGAAGTACCCCAGAAATGACAAGGATACAACATAGAAGGTGAATGTCATTCATAGTAAGGTACAGAAATTATAAGCAAGAAAACAGCCTGTACCTTTCAGTTATGTGAAGAAAGGCTCCTGAACATGAAGTTCAAAGTTTACAGTCTTTAATATCTGATAAAATTCAACAATTATTTATGATCATAAAAATTGAAACAATCAGTTAAGAATTGTGAAGATACCAATAGAAAGCAAAAACTAGCACCACAAAAAAATATATATTTACCAATTCAGTTCCTTCATTCAGAACCAAATCATTCCATTCTCTTCTCTGTTTGGACTCACTGTCTTCATCCGCCAAGTCCTTTTTCTTAGATGCCTTTCCACAGGTTACAGAATCATACAATGCCATCGCTAGGCACTTGTATAGAGGCTGTGGAGGAACTTGTCTGAACTCTGAAGCAATCTGCAACAGTTTAATTCACAGACTGAAAAAAGAAAAATTAGCACATAAAGCAATATCAAATTGTCTTTTAAGTAACATTAATTAAGAAAACAACAATCAAAGCACAATAAAGTCACGAACTTTCTCTCCCTCTGTATTTCCTTTTCATGTTTATTCTTTCTATAAATTCTCAGCAACCAATCAATGGCCAAAGGAATAAATCCCAATACAAGTATATACAACTTTAAAAAAAAAAAAACTCTACATTAAACCAATTAAAATTATAACTTCAAAAGGAGAATCTGTTTTTCTTTCACAATCCTTTCCTTACCATTGAATTTCTCAGCAACCATCAATAATATCATCAAAAACCAAAACTAGCCCAAATGAGTCCAAGCATGCCACTCTCCCAGAAACCAAACACAAAAAGAAAAAGAACCGGAAACAACAAATCAAAGTAGTTCATTTTCTAATGCATAAAGTTCAATACTTTCTTACCATAAGTAGTATGTGAAATGGGGTAGCACAGGTTACAGAATCATACAATGCCATCGCTAGGCACTTGTATAGAGGCTGTGGAGGAACTTGTCTGAACTCTGAAGCAATCTGCAACAGTTTAATTCACAGACTGAAAAAAGAAAAATTAGCACATAAAGCAATATCAAATTGTCTTTTAAGTAACATTAATTAAGAAAACAACAATCAAAGCACAATAAAGTCACGAACTTTCTCTCCCTCTCTATTTCCTTTTCATGTTTATTCTTTCTATAAATTCTCAGCAAACAATCAATGGCCAAAGGAATAAATCCCAATACAAGTATATACAACTTTAAAAAAAAAAAAACTAAATTAAACCAATTAAAATTATAACTTCAAAAGGAGAAATCTGTTTTACTTTCTCAACCCTTTTCTTATCATTGAATTTCTCAGCAACCATCAATAATATCATCAAAAACCAAAACTAGCCCAAATGAGTCCAAGCATGCCACTCTCCCAGAAACCAAACACAAAAAGAAAAAGAACCGGAAACAACAAATCAAAGTAGTTCATTTTCTAATGCATAAAGTTCAATACTTTCTTACCATAAGTAGTATGTGAAATGGGGTAGTGATCATTTTGATCTTCTTTGAGCAGGTAAGAAGAGGACTCCCTTGAGGGGCCTAAATTGAACCCCAGGAGTGAACTTTACTAACTCTTCTATACATTCTTTGAGCTCTACTGGGCTTGTTACTGGCGAAGCTGGCTGCTCCTTTTTTGTGCAGACCTTACCTGTTTCAGTTTCTCCGTGGCTAACAGGCAGTGCTTGCATTTCCAAGTTGTCTTTTGACGACAAATCGGCGATTATCCGAGCAATGGCAGACGACAGTTTGTTTATTATTAAATGGATTACGCGTGGTTTTTAAGTTGAAGCGACGAGTCGTCCACGAGTTTTACTTCCAATAAAATGATGGAATGAAGTTCAATTATTTATGGGATGGGAAAATGTTTATATAATTGTGTAAGTAAATGATTTATGTTGCTTGGGTATATTTTAGTGGCAATTTTATTTTTTAAAAAAAATATTTAATTTAACTGAGTAATTTTTCATTAAATTTTATCGGGTTAAATAAATCATTAAAATAATAATCGAGTTAATTAAATTTATTGAAATTAGTGTTTTTATTCGTATAAATAAAAACCTTACATGAGTTAAGCTTATATTTATAAGTTTTATGGATCAATTCTTCATATTAAATATAATTTTTTTATTTTTATATCTCATTTATATTTTATAAAATCTCTTACCTTTAAAAAAATAAGTAAATTTAGAGGGGGGGGGGGTTCTGAACTAAATTGGAATTTAATATTATTGCCTTGAGAAATTTTGTTACATTCTATAGTGGGGTTGGTCCCCTAGGTTTGGTCCGATATTCAATCAAATGAATGAAAAAATCTGTATTGACTTTCCTCCTGAAAATTTTGTGACCATCTCCCTACCGGGACAAAATCCATCTCTGCAGCGCTCTTGATTTCTGACCTCCACTTCTTTATGGTATGTGTCTAATCTACCTGTACAGTATCGTATATCATGATTTTTTATCCTGTGTTCTTAAATGGAAGCTGGCTTGCACCATTCATCTTCCAGAATTTAATTTAGTATCCTAGGTATAATGTTACTACATCCTAGACTGGACTAGTATCGTTCGAGCTATCTTTGGTTCCAGTTTCCGGTTCCTTTGCGACAGACGAATGTGGCTTAACAGAACCATCTAAAGAATGATGTTCTTGCTCATTCACTGTTTGACATTCTACAAGATTTTCCATCTCAGGATATACACATATAGCAGGCTCTGAATGGATGTTGTGTATGCCTCAACTGTTGTATAATCATTAGGCGATATGAATTGTCCGCTGGCACATGTTCCGTTGTCGAAACTGGAACAAGTAAATACCTTCAACACCTGTGGAATAGCAATTCAGTTGGCGAACATGAACAGCAAGATCTTAGGCTACAAAATTTCTTTGATCTTCCCTTTGATATACTTGTGGGATGTCGCCGATTCGGATTTATTTATAATTCAGAACAAATTAGCATTATAAAGTCGTGTGTAAATTTAAGAATTCTAATTAAATTATGTGATGAAGTATCGAGGTGCAAAAAAAAAAATGATCGAGTTAAGTATTAATGATAAGTGCAAGTATGTAAAACTTAGGTAATGGGATTTGATAAATTTTAAATTAAAATTAAAATTAACATAATTTAAAAATATGTATTTTGATGTACCAACATTAAGCCTAACTAGATTTTTAGCTCGTTGGCCAGTTAGATCAAATTTTTTTATGTATGAAAAAAATATCTAGATATTACTAGTGTTTTTTCTAATAGAAAAAATAAATTAAACCATGTGTAAAATAAAAATTACTTAAAATATCATTAGAGAGATATTAAAATAAAAATAGTGAAATGTATTTGGACTATGTTTTTAATTTGATTTGAGCTCATACCCAATAAATTTAATTCGGTAATATTGAGCTTAGATGATGGTTCAAACTTGTTGAAGTTTTAGTCTAAATTACTAGCTTTCATCAATAATGTCTATGCATTAGGTTCAGAACACCACAAACTCACAATTTAAAAACATATTTCGAAGGAAATTGACAATAACAATCCAATCCATTATTACGTAGTAGCAATGAAACTAAGCAAGATAAAATCATTATGCCGATTTTACGGAAGCTATAGTCTGTATGAAAGTGAGGATAAGCAGGATAGCTGCTGCAACAGTTGCCGTACCTCTCCAAATATTGGGGAAATATACAAGTTTCAAGGTTGCCTTTCGATGGTTAAAGCGGTTCTCATAGTGAGCATTTATCTCTTGAGAGATATCACCAAAACAATTGCAATTGTTACCAATATTTTCGCAAAAATTGTTAATCACATTTGAAACTGCGGCATCGTCACCTAGCCAGTGGAGAGTGATTCCCTTTCCGACTAGCAAACCCACGTCTTCTGCACTGTCGATAAGATGGTCCATAAACTTAATGTAACCGCATACATAAGCTTCAACCGGGTAGCAGCACTGCTCCAAGGCCATGATATTTCGTACAAGACGTTCGAAGCTGTGATCAACTTCCAAGCGTGGTATTTTCAACACACCTTTCTCAAATTTTATGTTGACCAGGCATTTGTCTTGGGTAACCTGAAACTTCACTCCTGCCTTGCGAAGCATGACCGCACTATCTTTCAGCTTGATAGGATTAAAACTATAAGTTCGTTCAATGGATCCCTTCAGCATAAAACTCCTTAGTAAATCAGTGAAATGCTTGCTTCCCTTTACAATCTGTCTGGTTTCTGCCACTTGTGAAAACTTGTGCTTTTGAAAATGAAACGTAGCAATATCGCTTGTGTGCTTTCCAAAAATGTAGGTAACAAGATCAAGAAAAGATTCCCATGTTGCATCTTGGAGATCACGATTGATCTCATGATATATATCCCAAATGATGGAGAAAGGTAGTTGGTTTTCAAGTAGAATCAAGTTTTCTCGTATGTCAAACATCATCCTGGGCTCAAAATGATTAGGCTGTTGATACTCTGAAAACAGCATCCAGCAAGATCATCTCTATGAAATCACAGCTACTGATTCGGTTGAATTTCTCTGAATAGCAGATTCGGATATACTTTTCTTTATTCTGAATGCTGATCACAAGATCCCTAATTTTCTCCTCATACATCCCATACAGTTCAGTAAACTCTTTGAAACATCTCCATTTATGATTTTGCATGGCCTCTATTCTTTTAGTCTCGCGGGGAAGAGGACATATTGAAATCAGTAGTGGAGTGTAGGCTTTCCAATTTACGCCTCGAAGCGATTTGGGCACCCTGTATATACTGCAATCAGCCCGGTCCTGTTGAGAGGTCAGCCCTTCCATCTTATTATGCAGCTGTGCCAAAATCTTGCTAGTCATCTCAATTTTGAGTTCCGGGTTTGAAATACTTGAGGTACTTGCTGTATCCTTTCCTTTGTTTGAAGGACTTAAGTTTTTAATATCCTTATCAATGTTTGAATCACTTCCTACATCAATAACTTTTCCCTTGTTTGGAGAACTTGACTCATCGTCTTCCATGTTTGATGCCCTTGAGTAAATTTATCCTTTTCCAGTCTGCAGGTTCGGTGCAACAAACCTAGAATCAATGAAAGGTATATAGTTCAATTTAGAGGGTTTTTTTTTTTTAGATATATTTTTACCTAACTAATATCATGACTTCTATGTTATTTCACAAAATCAAAGCACATTTTTCCATGCTACTTCATGAGTATATTTGTCCATGTAATTTTTCAGAGCAATGCTATAAGAAAATCATACGAAAATTTCAGATGAACTGTTGTAATTGCTCTTGATCAATCATTTAATATTTTTGGAAGGAGCTGAGAATAACATAATGACTTGAGTTTGCTTTAGCTAACCTTTCCTATTTATATATATGTGGTAGAAAATGGTAATAATCGTAGGGATTACAACATTGAAATAATCATATATTAATTTCTTATTTAAAAATATACATGCTATATATTCTATAATATACCCCCTCAAGTTGAGGATGGAGGATCAACCTGAAGCTTTAACATAAAAGCAGTAAAAAACGTAACGAAAAGTGATTTGGTAAAGACATCAACAAGTTGACCCCAAGAAGAGATAAAGCTAATGTAAATTCCCTTCTTCGCAACCTAGTCGTAGACAAAATGATAATTTACCTCAACATGCTTAGTATGAGCATAAAAGATAGGATTCACTGAGAGATAAGTCACACCAAAATTATCACACCAAATGATAGGAGCAAAGACAGAGGAAACCTACAGATTTGTTAACAAATATTGAAGCTAGATGATCTTAGCAGTACCATCTACTAAGACTTTATACTCAGTCTCAATGGAGAAGCGGGCAACTGTATATTGCTTGCTGGATTTCCATGAAATTGATGTCTAACCAAAGAAAACAAGATAGCTATCTGTAGACTTGAGATCATCAATATTACTGTTGCTATCTAATTTTTAACTCATGTTTTTGATAAATTTTTAGAAAAAACTAAAAATAGCAAAAAACAATGAAAACCCCAAAAAATATATTTTGATATATTTACATTATTTTTAGTATTTTCAACGTTATCTCAGAAGAATTTAAATTTTCTAAAGTATTTTAAACGTGTTCAACTTTTAACATTTTAATTTTACAATTATTAATTTTTCTTGTTGTGTCAATATTAATATTGCTCGCTCTCGAAAATAAAAAAAAGCATTAAAATTTACAAAACAAAAAAAAAGAAAAAAAAGAAGAAAAGTTGAGTTTAGAAATGCAGCAACATTTTACTAATAAATATTATAAATACTAGTTTACAGTAAAAAAAACAGGAGAGGAGAAAAATTTAGAGGTAAAACCCTAAAGCTATGGGATGGGTAGAGAAAATTTTAGGGGAAAATCAGGAAAAAAAAACCCTAAAGCTAAAACAAAAAAAACTCTAAAAATCTAAACTCTGTCCCCTGCAGCTGCCCCTCTCCTT